TCAGCTACGTAGAGGCCGATAAACGCTCACGGAGCCTCATCGTCAGTGGCCTTGAGGAGGTACTACTCAACCTCAAGCCCTCTGAGCGTCAAAGGGAATTATAAAATACGGTGACTGATTTGCTTGATGTTTTGCAAGTCGAATGTGGGCCAGTGGACATCCATAGAGTTGGAGAGGGTGATTCTAATCGTCCTGGGCTTGCTAAGATTCTGCTTCCTTCGAGATATTACTGGCGAATTGCTTTGGCGAATGCAAAAAATCTACGCTTTACTGTGTACCGGAATGTGTTCATAAGGAGAAATTTAACAGCAGAAGAACCTAAGCGCGAATACGAGCTCCGGCAACAGGCAACCGATACAGATGAGCCCAAGAGGGAATGGTTCGTGTTCAAGGGTGAGTTGGTGCGTGCTTCTGACCTATTGCAGTCTCAAATGTTTCGAACTCATCAAACTTTGGGAAACGAGTAGGCGTGCATGGTGATTCAACCTCTCTGAAATGTTTCTGCTTAACGCTCATAGTATTGTGAAGAAATTTGCAAATTTACATGCTTTTTTGAGCATCAAAAGACCAGATATCGCAGTGATAACCGAAACATGGCTACATTCCCGTATTCTTGATTCTGAATCAATAATAAATCTGCCGTATAATGTATTTCGTTGCGACAGGATAGATAAGAAAGGCGGCGGAGCTTGTTTTTTGATCAAGTCTTCCATAATTTCAAATGAAATCAAGCTGCAAGGAGAGTTGACAGCTGACGTTTTATGTATTGAGCTTATCAGCTACAGCATTTCACCTACAGTGAGGTTAATCGCTTTTTACCCCTTTCCTGGCTGTACGTTTACGGATGATTCTTCACTGTTAAAGGCACAGTTCACGATAATTCAATGGGCGGGGACGTCAACGACCTTCCCGTCTCTCCATCGATGTCACGTCAGACGTCAGAGACGAGTGTCGAGACAATACAGATTGCAAATTCTCGTTCTAGGACCCACATACAATCAGCTGTCGCCTAGTGATGAGGCAACAGCTGATTGTGTGTGGGTCCTGGAGCGAACCGTTTTTCTCCCATTCTTTTTTCCTCTGTTATCCTTTTTGCTGCCGCTATCCCACATTTAATTTCCTACTCCTAGAGGCTGAAAAAGGTGAGCTACTTTTGCTGTTACTGGGGTTTTTTGTTTACTTATGCTTATAAGTGAAGGAATTTCCGCTTACCATTGTCTTTTATTCGCACCAGAACCCACACGTACGCAGTGGGACACATTCTATAGCCCGTCTAAACGCCCCACTCTTCTTCATTTTTCTGAACTCATTCTCGTCCAGCCCCCTGTTTAATGGTTTTATGAAGCCTTTACTCACTTTGGAAACACCAATTCACGCAGTTTCCCCACCTTCATCGCACTATTTTCGATCTTGTCGTCCATTTTTCATCATAATCTGACCAGCCAAAATTATCGTGAACTGTGCCTTTAAATGCATTACTGCAAATTTTTGTAGGGCCGGTTAAATGATGAGAAGAGATGATGACAGATGGACAAGAAGAGCAGTCGAGTGGGCTCCCGCAGGATCTTTACGATCTAAGGGTAGGCCTGCTACGAGATGGGGGATGTGCTCGTCGATCGCGTGAAACAGCTGCGGAAGCAGCCGAACGACTCCTCACATCGCCATCGTCGTCGAATCCTGAGTCTACCGTGGATAATGATCTCGAAAGACAGGAGCGAATGGTTTTTTGCTGGTGCCGCACGTGAGGGAAGACGAGCCTCCTCAGACATTATTTCGACAAAAATGCCGAAATTCATCGAGAGGGGACGTGGAGTTTGAGAATACTTCGCTCAGCCTTGCTATACTATGCCTTCTTTGTCCTAATGTTGATTCCCGCGAGCCCATCGAATTTGCTGAACGGCACAAATCTCCTTTCGATTTGCTCAACGATCGAATCTAAGCTAGTCTTCTATGCGAGGTTCTGACCCTTTGCATATTTTTTGTATTCAAAGGAGAAAAATACTCAGATTGTTCTAGGTATTTGAACATAATCTACGGATCTCCTTCACTGAGTTCTCTCTCACTGAAGGATCCCCAGCCGGTTAGTGACGAGGCTACGTAAGGCTCCCCAGGTGGCGGATAGAGGAATTAATCGCCGACCAAAAGTCACCGCTACTTGCCCAGAGGCGCAGGTGGATTCAGGGGATAGACTCCTTGATTCTGCTGTGCTGAGTCAATATACCCTCTGTTTCTCGCAGGCGTATCCACGCATACGTGCGTGGAGAGTCTGTGGGTGCAGTTGGTATCTTGCTCATCAACTCGGCCAAAAGCTTGTATTCGAGTAACTGGGTAGTATTTGAGAGGCGATTCGGGACCGCCTCCAAAAACAAAGCCCCTCGTCCACTTCGGAGTAGCCTGGCAAGATCCCGGAGTCAATCCAGCCCCCACGTCAGAGCCTGACAAGCTGCACGTTGGGTATCTACACGCCAAAAACAGCAATAGAAACGGGCCTCATTCCCCTGAACCTGAGAGAGCACCCAATACGGCAGCGTTGGATGGGACCGCTTGGAAGAGGGTGCTAAAATCTCACGGCCAAAACATTCTGCCCAAAAGGAGAAGGACTGAGATGGCGATCTGTACTTTTAACGCACGGTCGTTTGCATCGGAAGCGTGTATAGAAGACCTGATGTTGCAAGGTAGAAACATTAAGTACGACGTCATAGGACCGACCGAGACGAGAAGGCATCGCCCGCTGCACGCTGTATTTGAGACTGGAAAAGAACTGTTCCTCGGAACATGCGACAGCAGAGGCGTCGGCCGCGTAGGTGTCCTCGTCAATACACACTTGGCCATGAACATCGACGTTCGACCCCAGCTCTAACCATCTTCGTTGCCTACGCACCAACCTCAAGCTACGATGGAGAGGAGTTGGAAGCGTTTTATATGGATCTGGAGAGGCTCTACAGAGAAGACTACGCTTTCTCTAAGGTCATCGTCGGTTATTTTAACGCCAAGATTGGTCCCAGAAGAACGGCTGAAGAGCTCCACATCGGGACTCACGGAATAGAATGGAATGAGCGGGGTGAAAGGTTGACTGAGTTTATCATGTCGACCCACACCATCCAGGTAACTCGCAATTCCAGAAGCTCTCTCATTCACGATGGACATGGAAGTCACCTGATGGACAGTTCCATAACGAAATAGACAACATCATCTTCAATCGGAGGTTTTGCCAGACTGATGTCGCTGTTGTTCCGAAGTTCTACACGGGATCAGACCATCGACTCCTCCGCGCTAGATTCTGCTTCTCAGTGCGTGGGGAGAGAGCTATGAAGTTTCGGAAACGAAGCCCCAAGACCTCCATCAACTGGGATCACTTCGCTTCCCTTGCGAGTAAATGGGAGGATTCCGTTATCGACAACACCGACGAGGAATACAACCGGCTCGTCGAGCATCTTCACGATAGTGCTACGAAAGCAGAGAGTCTACAAGTAGCCAAGAGACGACTCTTTTCGAAGACTCTCGAGCTGATATGCCAGCGTGGAATTGCGCGAGCTACAGGCAATTATCAACAAACGTCCGAACTTGCGAAGCTATGCAGAGAAGCGATAAAAGAAGATCTGACAGAGAGAAGAGCAGCAGTCATGGACGAAGCCGCCGAGGCCGGAAAAAGCATTCGCAAAGCCCGACGGAGCTTCGCCAATTACAAGACCAAGATGACCTCCCTTCGTCGTCCTGACGGAACCATTACTACTTCCCGGAGGGCAATGGAGAAGGTCATCTACGACTTCTACTCGGATCTCTTCGACAGCCACGTCTACCTGCCTACTCACCATCTTAGGCAAGACGAATATATCGCTCCTTCGGTTCTCCCTTCCGAAATACGACATGCCATCACGTCGATGAAGAACTGTACAGCGCCCGGCCCCGATAGGATCAAACCAGAACATCTGAAGAGTATACCACCAGTCATCATCAAAACTCTGGCTAGGCTCTTCACACGGTACCTGTCGGAATGCAAAGTGCCCACGTCGTGGAAAACTAGCAAGACTGTGTTGCTGTACAAGAAGGGAGATCCAGACGATATTGGCAATTATCGCCCAATCTGCCTGCTGTCCGTAATCTACAAGCTTTTCACTCGTGTCATCCTAAACAGGATTGGCAGAATATTAGATGAAGGACAGCCATGCGANATCGGCTTGAGACTGAACCTAACGAAGACGATGTTCATGAGAAACGGATTGGTACCTGATGCTCCTTTCACGTTAAACGGAACGAATATCTCCGAATGCTCTAGCTATGTGTATCTAGGTCGGGAAGTCAACATGATGAACGACCTAGCTCCAGAGCTGTGCAGAAGGAAACGCGCCGCGTGGGGAGCATTTAAGAATATCGAGGGAGTAGTGAAGAAGACAAAGAACATCCGGCTCCGCGCTCACCTTTTCGACACTGCTGTCCTTCCTGCTTTGACGTACGCCTCGGAGACCTGGACTCTACGAAAGCAGGATGAGCATGCTGTCAGCGTTATTCAACGCGCTTTGGAAAGGACGATGCTCGGAATTTCCCTATACACGCAAGTGCAGAAGGGAATCCGGAGTTCCGAGCTCCGTCACCGAACGAAGATCAGGGATGCCGTTGATTACGCCAAGAAATCGAAGATCAGGTGGGCCGGACACGTTATGCGATATAGTGATGACCGTTGGACCAGGGCGGTTACTGACTGGATCCCTCGGGACATCAAACGAACACCAGGAAGGCCGCCGACGAGATGGTCAGACTTCTTCACGAAAGCTCTGAAAGAAAGGATTGTTGAACCTCGTGTCCCTGGAGCAATTCATTGGACCACTTTGGCCCGTGACAGGGACGATTGGAGACGTTACTGGCGCCCGCTCGAGGAAATTGACGATCAACGGGTCGACAGGTGATACAGGTGATGTGAACATGATGAAAATGAATGGATCAAAGACAACTTCATTGTGCTATGCCTCTTCAAGTTACATAGAGAGAAATGGGGCGTCGGAATGCGATGTAAATGGTCAGTTGAATATGATACTATACCAATGAGAGAGCGCAGGATGCGCAGCGGTCCACCTCGATTGAAATTTTGCCTGTTTGATTATCGAGAATTCATTTCTAGTATAGAGCAAAGGATTTCGAAGGAAAGGATAAGAGAGAAGCCTACAGGCGCTACCTAACGATGTACTTACTTGGCCATTAATGATTTCGTGATATCTATTTTTGGAAAGCGGATATCTTCATTTCGTCCATCAGCTTTATACAAAATGCTGCCGATTGGAGATAGAACTACAGCAGTCCCGGATCCAAAAAACTCATAAGCCTGAATAAGAATTGTGTTTATTGTCTAGTAAAGTTGCATAAAGGCTCTGACTCAAGGTTCACCTTGTGCTGAGTGTGTGCTGAATCGTGATTTGATTTTTGCAAATGTAACCTATCATTCAATTTTGTACAATGTGCCTTTCTTGCTATTTCTTGATTCGTTTATGGAAATTAGGGCACTGCTTCGAAAGAAACAACTCGAAGGAGCAAAGCAGGCATCCGTCAATATTGCTTAGAATAGTCTAAGGCGCTGACTAAACTAGTTCTCACAAAATCCCTGTTGAACTCCTTTTGATGCCGTATCAGAAACCAAAAAGAAGTTGTCGTTGGAAAGAAAGGGGCTTCTCGGGGAACTGTGACATTGTAAAGCAGTTTGGTAGCACCTCAGTCAGCTTTTGAAACAGCGGGGCCTTGGTGTAGACAGTGCTGCGAAAGCCACCTTTCAGTGAAACAGTCATACTTATACGGTCCGTTTTCATTTATTTGAGAGCACCGGCAGTAACCCATCTCAAAGGCACAGTTCATGATAATTCCCTGTTGCTGGCTCGCGGGGCTTTCCCGCCCCCCGATCGATGTCACGTCAGACGAGTGTCGACGCGATGCAGATTGCAAATTTTTGCTCCAGGACCCACACACAATCAGCTGATCGCTGAGTTATGAGGCGATGATTTTCTCCTACTCTTTTGTTCTCTGTTATCCTTTTTGCTGTTGCGATTCCTAATTTGATTTCCTACCTCGAAATGCTAAGAAAGGTGAGCTTTGCTGTTACTAAGGTTTTTTTTGTTTACTTATGTCTATAAGTGAATGAATTTTTGCTTTCCGTAGTCAGTTATTTGCACCAGGACCCACACGTACGCAATGACCCACATTGTATAACTCGTCCAGACGCCCAACTTTTCTTCATTCTTCTGGTCTCATTCTCGTTTAGCCCCTTTTCAATTATTTGTCGAAGCTTTTTCACTTTGGAAACACAGATACACGCAGTTCCTTCGCCTTCATCGCACTATTTTCCATCTTATCTTCCATTTTTCGCCATAATCTGGATTACCCCAAATTATCGTGAACTGTGCTTTTAACCCAGATCCGACAAAGATGATAACGTGATGGGTCATTCAGCTGCAATGTAGCTGCTTCACGTGATCGACTAGCGCATCTCTAATCTTCTAGTAGGCCTTCCCTTAGTTCGTATACTCTCACAGAAGCTCATTTATTCTTGCCCATCTGTTATCCTCTCTTCTTACGATATTGGCGTTTTTTCATTTACTCCACCGAATGCGAAGGCGAGACATTCTGTACATATCGGAGCTGCGCAGTCCGCCTTGGTAATGACTGCTCCGGTTGAGCCTTGGAAGACATCGCTCGAGTGCTTTGTGACTTATCCGATCGATACATGGTCAACCAGGACATCCATGTCAAGAGCCCAAAGCTCTTGACGTGGATGCCCTGGTTAACCTTGTATCGATCGGTAACGGAGCGCAGGAAGAACTGTGGAATAGAGAAGACTAGCGCGAAGTACGTATCGATCAGTATGATTGTTGGTGACTTCTTCCATAATTATAAAAGCCGCACATGCATCTTCCTTCCCACTTACCAGTTCCACCAGGTGTACCACTAATTTTGATTTGACCTTCGCCAGCCCAAATACGCCTGTGTTTTTGTTCTGTTGATCCAGCCCTATCTTCTTTCCTGCTTCACTGGGTTCTGCAGGTATTATTTCAGCTCCCGCAACGCTGCTTCAAAAGAAAACAATGTCTTTCGCGAAACGAAGGCTTGAGAGAAACCGTCCTACACGAGTGCCCTTCTCGTCCCAGTCTAGCGACTTCAGAATCCACTGCAGTGCGGCTGTGAACAGCTTCGACGTAATACAGTGCGTTTCATAAGTATAAGATCACTCTCAAATATGGTATTAAGAGTATAAGCAGCCGAACAAATATCTGTCTGGCACCACCGCAGAATTCATCACCTTCATAAACCTCATAAACCTGCTTTGGTTTGTTCAACTTTTATATTAACATTTATATAGATTATTCTCGATTCTTTGGCCGTCTCATAATTATAGGATCACTTTTCTTTGGATGAAAAAGCACAACATCGAAACTTTCGTGATACAGGGTTCAGTACGAGGGCAATGGGGAGGCAAGTCGTAAGAGCTCCAGCTCTGGTAAAGATATTTGAAGACTCCAGAGCTTCCACGTGGACAGAATGCTCGCGCAAGCTAACCGTGAGCGACGAGGAGAATGTTAAGAGCTATTTCGAACAGAACTTGTCGTTGAACCAAGCTCGATCTCTCGGTGTCTAAAACTGCTTTATGGAGAACCGTGAAAAGGAGCAACAACATGAGGAGGGCTCCGAGGCTCATTGATCACCACAGAAAAACGCGACTTGACTTGGCGAAGTCGAATTTGGGATACGAAACGAGTATATTGGACGAAAGTCCTATATACTCATTCAGGTCGATTTTTTTTATGAAAAGATACTTTGGAAGGCCCCGATGGTTACGACTACTACTGGCATGACTTACGAGAGGAGCCGGTCATTTCTAACCGTCGCCATTTGTAAGGAAGGTCTTACGTGATGTCGTTTGCAAAGATGTCGTGCTGGGGCTTGCTCGCGTGACCTCCAAAATGGGCTCCAAAGACTATCAGGAAGTCTTACAATAGCGCTTGGTGCCATTTCTGAGCCGATGACGTGGCCCTATGCTTTTCAACAGGACCGTGCTGCGATCCACGTTAGTCATTTCACGAAAGACTAGTTGCATTCTCGAAATATCGAAGTTCTGGTACGGTCAGCTTGCAGCCCGTATCTTGACTCGATGGAGAATTTGTGGGGCATCGTGTAAGAAAGATTTATGCGAACAATCGTCAGTTTTAGATGACAGAAGAGCTCAAGCAGGCAGTAATCGAATCTTGGAATGGAGTCTCCGGCAAGGTACTTCGAAACCTTGTCTTGAGTATGCCATGTAGGCTAATCGATATTGGGCAAGAACAAGGAACATCGACTACTAATTGTTCTTTTCTGTCGTCACTAATAATAATTATTTTTCAAATACTCAAAGCGATTGTGAACAGTAAATTATTCATGAAAATGTGAAAATGTTATGGCAGAAGTTGATCTAGAAAGTGTTCGTGAGCGGACGTTGATCAGGATGGTGAATCTGATTGTAGTGCTTGTAAATTGTCTGCTTGACTGGCCCTGTAAACCCCAAATTCGACGGTGACCTTGTACTTATGGAAAACACTGTAGTGCCGCCTTCCAGCTGCATCGGTGGCTACAGCGACCACTACGGTCGGCTAGTGTTCCTATATAGATGGGCTCCACTGAAGATGAGGAAAAAAGCATGGAATTCTCACTCCGATAACCATTGCGACCGGATCTATTATTATTGCAGCTGAATCCCTTACGAAATCAGCCCTTCTCTACAGGTTGAGCTTTATATTGGAATTATCTTCGTGAACGGCTTGCATTAGAGATCCAACAAGCTTTATGGGCGGTGACTGTGAATATAGACCGGCCTTTTTTCTTACAAGAATGATCATCCACCGGTTCCTCTACTGGTTGGGAATGCACTTCATCTGGAGGTAGAATGTGATGGGTTGCCAGAAGAGTTCGTCCACACGTGGACGGTGTAGCTCCGGTACGATTTTATTGTAGCCTTCTTCATGCTCGAAATAGCAACTCTCACCTTCGAAGGAAGGATCCAAGGTGCTGTTCCTCCAGTGGGGACTTCTGGTTTTCGTAGGTGTGTCGTGGATTATTACACGCTCTCTGACTTGTGACCGAATCTGTACTTGGCACTAAGGAGACGATTATCAGAACCACTACAGGGACCACTTTCTGTATTCCATATGTGGTCCAATTAGCCATGGGTTCTACCACTTGGACACTTCTATGTCCCCTGGCGAAGTTCCTTTTTGAGTTTGCCATGAAAGAGTCGAGCTGAAGAAAAAAGTCCTCCCAAATGATTTCGATTTCCCGCTTCTGTATGCAATTCCGAACTTTCCAATCCTGTACTCTATGATGCTTCACCAAGCCTAGCGTGGAAATCAATATCAAACTTGTATAAGGATTCTTCGTTGTGGATGATCTTTTCCAATTGATCGTGGGATGCATGAAGCTCCACTTCGCCAGCTGCATCGTGTGGATAAAAGCAATTGACGATACTGATCGTCTTCAGGTACGCACGTCGTAGGCGTAGGACGGCAAAGCGAGGAGACAGGATTTTGTGAGGATCGACGAGGTGGATTACAGACGACAGTGTACGACGAAGCCAAGGCCGAAGAAGTTTCGGGGTGAAAGTGTGTCACAACGAATGTTAAAGCTTTCATCATTCATTCATCGTAAGACAGTCCTCTTGCTCTTGGTTTCTTGCAGTGCAATCGCACTATACTTGACGTGACCATATACCGTCCGACTGCTGGGCGCAGTGTCTGGGCTGCTTCATTGCTGTTCTAGCTCCCTGGGATGCCAACATTGCCTTGCCAGGGTCAGTGTTCAGTCTTGGCTGTCGTGGCTATGACCACTGTGGGCCAGAGGGAGCTGAGAGACCAGTCTTGGTCGCGTGGACGTGCAGCATTGTCGTTGAATATATATTAAATCAAATATATTATACATATGCATTTATATAGTAAAGAAGAAAGAATGTAGTGATGAAGAATTATTAAGGCCTCGACGATAAATTCCGTCAAGCAGCAGAAAACGTTGGCTAGAAGTTATGACCATAATAGCTGACATCTGTTGGTGGTAGTGGCGGAAGCGTTCGGGAGCGCAACAGGTTGCTTCCCCCTCCGTTAAGGGGATAATTCTCCGAGCAAATCCTTGTCCTAACTCCAGAACTCAGTAATATAGATGTAATTTACTGAGGCTTGCGCAACTCAATCCGTG